TCTAAATTAATGAGTGGTGCACAGCCCTGACCTTTACTAGGACTTTCAATGGCTACTAGCTTTTGGGGGCGTTTCTGTCTAAACTAAGCTAGTGAAGACAATGAATGGACTCCGGCCGTGATGTTCACTGGGCTCTCAGGCAACAAGCACAGCGACCTGTGGAGAGAATTGTGCGGAGAGCAGGCAGGGAAGCTGGGGCCATAGCACCTGAGCACCACGAGATCATCTTTCCTCTCCTTGCTCAGGGAGGTATTTTCAGGGGCTCCTCTTGGTTCCCCCCTGTGGCTACAAGGCATCAGAGAAAAACAGAAGGGATAGGGTCAGCCTGAAGGGAAGGGTGGCCCCCCAAAACATCAAAGGGGTCCCGCACAGGGACCTGGGGCTCGTCTAGGCCCATCTCATGGCAGCTGCAGGCCCCCAGGACCACGGCTGTGAGGGTGATGCCTCAGGAGCCATCCAGGCCTGAGACTGCGTCAGGGCCTGGCCCCCGGAGGGATCTGGAACAGACTGTGTGTGTGTGTGTGTGTGTGTGTGTGTGTGTGTGTGTGTGTGTCACACGTGTGCCCAGACAACACAACACCCACACACGCTGTGTACTGATCACTGACCCCAAATTCACCCAGCTCTTCAATTCCATGTCTGTCCTGACCAACGGGGTGACCAGGTACAGGTCAGGCAGCCTGGAGTTGGGGTGAGGGGAGGGTGTGTGCGACTCACCTGGGGACACAGACACCACAACCTGGAAGGTGAGGTCTATCAGTCTTTCTCTCAATGGTGTATCAATCCCACACCAGTATGTGCCTTCATCACCCTCTGTGAGTCTCTCCAAGGTCACTGTGAAGGTGAGGTTTGCAGGATGGTCCCTGATGGACACACGGCCGCTCCTCACTTCTCTCTCTGACTCTGTGGTCTCCACAATCTTCATCCTCAGTGGTGGTAAATATGAGTATTTGCACCAGAATTTGTTATGGTCTGTGTACTCCTTCTCATACCGACACTGCACGCTCAGCGATCCCCCCACGGTGCCCGTCACGCGCCTGGGGCCGCTCAGAGACAAACAGCCTGGAAGACACAGTCCAGTCCCAGGTTCTTACCAGATGGGCCAGGGGCAGGGGCACCCTGGGTGCAGGTCCCCTCAAGCGCCCCCAGGGTCTGGAGGCCATGCCTTTCCTCAGAGCAGGCGAGGGGACCAGGGGCGATAGCTCCCTCCTCTCAGTGGTGACACGGGGAGAGGTTGTGCATGGAGACAAGAAAGGCCACGATGGGAAAAAGGAGTGTGTGCACATGTATTTGTGTGTGTGTGTCTAAGTGTGTGATGCATCAAGACCACATCTCTGATTTTTTTAATCACTTAAGGATATTTTTCCATTGCTTTTTAGAGAGAGTGGAAGGGAGGTATGGAGGCAGAGAAAAAGAGAGAAACATTGATTGCATGAGCCCAGGTACGTGCTTTTGACCCAGAATCAAACCTGCGTTGGACCAACGCTCTAACCACTAAACCCTCAGCCAGGGCCCACATCCCTGGTTATGACAATAAGGTGCTGAGCACATGCCCCGCCTCCCCAGCACAGCTCTGAGGGCGCAGTGATTGAGACTCACCTGCTTTGTGCACTGAATCCTTGTGGTTGCTGCTGAGGCAGGTGCTGGCCGCTCCTGGAAGCATCTCTGCCTCCCCGTGCTCTCCCCCATGTTCTCCCTCCCTCCGGCTGGGCTGCTCCTCACCCTCTACCCACCCCTCTCTCAGTCTTTCCTCATTCCCATTCGGGGCCCAGCTCCCCACAGCCCAGCCCCACTCACCTGGGACCTGGAGAAGGAGCAGAGCTGAAATTAGCCACATGGCCCCACTCCTCGGGGTCATGTCTCCGCACAGACACAGCCTGCAGCAGCGCCAGGTCCTCTGGGTGGACAAGGTCAAGCCTCCTCGCTGAGGTTCGATAGCCCTGTGTCCACTTCCGCTTTTCTGGGCCTCTCTGCTTCCGTGTCCAGCACAGATTTGAGTCCGATGTTGGATGGTCAGGGTGCAGGAAGCTTAGGGTCAGGAGCTGCACAGGCTGCTGCAGACCCCCGGCTCTCGGCGCCCTGGGCTTCTGCTCTCAACCCCAATGACAGGACAGGGCCCGTGGCCTCAGTGAGGCTGCTGCCCCTTCTCAGAGCACATGGCTGCTCCTCTGACGGCCACACACGTCTCCGCACAGCAGAGCCGCTGGGACGTTTCCTCCTTGGTGGTGTCCCCACCCTCTGCCATATGTCACTTCCTTGTGGTCAAAAATGATAGTCCTGGGCTGAAGGCCAGACCGTTTCATCCTCTCGGGCCTTGGTGGTGACCACAGAGGTGTTCTGACCCCCCAACATGTAGCTGCAGGTACCCACGGGAGCTCTGACCCTGTGGGCCCCCAACTCTTCTACGACCTCACATGCCTTCAAAGGTCCCATCTTGGTTGTGGGGTCACATCCAAGG